TCATTTCACAATATATTCAAACTATATCTTACTACATTATTCAAATATTCATTTCACAATATTTTCAAACTATATCTTAGTACATCATTCAAATATTCCTTTCACAATATATTCAAACTATATCTTACTACATTATTCAAATATTCATTTCACAATATTTTCAAACTATATCTTAGTACATCATTCAAATATTCCTTTCACAATATATTCAAACTATATCTTACTACATTATTCAAATATTCATTTCACAATATTTTCAAACTATATCTTAGTACATCATTCAAATATTCCTTTCACAATATATTTAAACTATATCTTACTACATCATTCAAATATTCCTTTCACAATATATTCAAACTATATCTTACTACATCATTCATATAATCCTTTCACAATATATTCAAACTATATCTTACTACATCATTCAAATATTCCTTTCACAATATATTCAAACTATATATTACTACATCATTCAAATATTCCTTTCACATATATATGTTCTTACCTTTCTACAAATTAGAATGTGACAGCTTTAGAAAAGCCGTCATCTATCCATTTCTATTTGTTATTTGTAAGGGTATCATACAAAAACTTGCTACATCAACATTAAACATTAAAGTATTGTAGGCGAGAATACAAAACTTAATATATTAATTGTTTAATACATTGAAAACACAGAAAATCTCTGTCTCCTGATAAAAACTTGTTTAATTCTGAATATTTCTCCTTACGGTTTCTTCGGTAGTTATCTACAGTATACAAAGCAAATGGTTATTAAATATCTAGAATTAAACTTATGAATAGAAATTTATTCAGCTTCGACTCCATAATATTAACAGTAACAATCGGTATACTAATATTTTCTGTGTTACTTTAGTATCAGGGTAATGTAAGACATGTGAACCGCGCACAAGGAAAACAGACAGAGGCCTGAACAGGTTTACTCTGCAACTCAAGTCATCCGACCTATTATCTTAACCAATACGTTACCCATAACTTTATATTATTTTATGTTTTTCATATTAACGACTAGCTGTAAAATATATGGTTTTATTATTATTAATTTTCAAGCTATTCTCTACCTTTAGCCAATAACATACTGGTTTTTATTATGTATATTTGTTTCAAATAATCATCTTATATTTTCAATTCTTCTTGTTCCCCATTTTCCGCCTTTTTCCATTAAAAGCGGCATATCATTAGTAAATTATTGCGATCGGATAATACTTTTTGAACATTTATGATTATTGTTGTCGTGATAGGACAATGTAACAATATCAACTAGCTAATTCGAATCTCAGGTTATTATTAGACCAATAGTAATTTTCGATGAAATCTGCTCGCTAGTCGTAACACTATTCCATCCACTTTAAAGCTTTCTTGTTATGTATTTTATGTTTTAAAAACAAACGAAATTAGACTTTTTATGGAAAGAGTTGACTTCCTCATCTTCTGTATAAATACAGTTTCAAGAAGGTTCCTGAACAGACACTTGCTTCTGAATCAACAGAGACAGCATCCTGCAACAATGATTTCACAAAAGGTAAGATATGTTAATCAAATATAGACACATTTATTCAGCTTCTTATCTCTACAAACGAATATCTTCGTTGTTACAGAAATAGTAATAATCTTATTAAAAATACCAGTTTTAAAATGTACGTAATATTAATCAAACCTTTAATGTAATTAGCTGGTGATATAACAGACTTAGACTTTAAGCGAAAATTATATAAATTTAAGAATATTTGTTTAAACTTTATTTTGAAAGTTGGTTGTAATTCTCTCATTGCATTTAAATTTCTACCACAGAATAGAGCTTACATAAGAGGTTATAGTGAAAATATACGTCAAATATTATGTATTTATAATAGTTATCGGGCACAAATCCTATCTAACTTATTTATGAAGTTATACTTTTAGTTCAATTCTTACAAAGGTTTATAAAGTAGATAAACGTACTTTACTAATATTGAATATTTTCTCTCTCTAGGTGTTCGTTGTGTTTTCTCTCAGTCTTCTGGTATTGACAGTTTGGGCTGATGAAAGTAACCAGGCTGTAGAGACGGGAGATCTAGAAGCCGAAGCTACAGGCCATATTGGATATGGAGGTGGTGGTGGAGGAATTGGTTTTGGAGGATATGGAGGCGGTGGTGGTGGAGGAATCGGTCTCGGCGGCTTTGGTGGTGGTGGAATCGGTGGTGGAAACGTTGGAGGACTTGGAGGTGGATATGGAGGTGGTGGAGCAGTAACACTTCTTGCTATTCCAATTAGTGCTGCTCGCGCTCGTGTAGTAGGAGTCGGTGGTTATGGTGGATTAAGTGGACTTGGTGGCTACGGTGGATTTGGGGGACTCGGTGGTTATGGTGGAGGAGGAGGACTTGGTGTTTATGGTGGAGGTGGAGGCCTTGGTGGTTATGGTGGAGGTGGAGGTTACGGTCATAAAATATACTACAAGCGATGGTAATATTGTAAGTACAACAACTTAGTTCCTGTTATAAAGACAACTATTTGTTTGGCTAATAGAATAAATACAATCAGTATATTTTTAATATATCTATTTGGTTTTTATTTATTTCAGTTCTGTCTGTGAATATTTTATATCCTAAAGATTTGTTATCACTGAATAATCTTAATATGACCTGATTTGTTTATCATTCTTTTTAGAAATATTACGTACTTAGTTATAATATCGAATAAATTATCATATTTTCTAGGTTCGATTCCTGAAGTTCTACTTGGAAAACAACAGTTCCTGACAGTTTCATGCCCAGTTATCCTGTTTCGTCAATAACACTGAATCACCAAATGCGAATTGTATACATATTATGTCTTCTCAGTATCTGATCCTTTGTTGGATTTCTTATATCACAAATTATAATCATTTGAAGTTTGTATTGCTTGTAAAATATTCAAAAGGGAGCTGTTCATATTTGAAATAAAGTTATCAGCATTAAGTGTCGTCTATCAAGTTTTCTTTAAAAACGTTTGATTTATGTGATATACAAATCACTTTCTTGCACAAAATCAACACCGCTATAACTGAGTTCAGAGAAGATTAATTATGGTTCTTTTATATCCATAAGTAACAACACTGAAATTATAGATTAATCAATACTGTCAACCATAGCACCAGAGTAGTCAATAGATCTTGATCACAGCTCTCAACCGTAACATTTTCATAAACAGTTACAGAATATTGATGGTTGTTGTCAGTCACAAACAACCAGTAAAGTCCAATCAATAAAATCAACCATAACTCAGTTCTAGGGATTCAACTGATTTTTACTCACTAGGATGGTTTGTTGATATATTCATACCCAGTAAGTTTTGATCGATAGTCAAACCAAACACTGTAATAAACATAAAACAGTTGTTGATGAGCTATGAATCGATAAACCATATGTCGTGATAAAAGTTTACATAACTGATTTTTTCCTCACTTTGTGTGACATGTTTAAAACATTTTTACTTCTGGTTAAAATATTCAAATCAGTTACTAAATTAAAGAATAAAAATCATCATAATTATTCTATACAATTTCTGACACCTTATAAAAAAAAGAGATACATTTGGCTGTATAAATCTACTGAACTTTAATCAACGCTTTAATCAAATTCATCGTTTTTTTTATCAACTGTTATATGACATTAATAAATAACTTACAAGTGTGAGTATTGATCAAGTTTTCCAGTTTTTGTTGTAGTTTAATTACTACTATCAGTATTTGACAATCTGTTTAAGCCTAGTGTGTGCTAACTAACTTTCATCTGTTTAGGCCTAGTGTGTGTTAACTAACTTGCATCTGTTTCTGATCCTATGTGTTATATGCATCTTTGTATTATACTCTGCTTCTTGGAGATAGTTGCCCATTAGAAGTTATCCATATTAATAGCATCGTGTTATTAGTCTGACATTAATATGCACATTTGTAGAATCAAATTCTGATTCTTGAAGTAATACATGCATCTAGTTTAGGATTCGTTTGTAACTCTCGAACTTTCATGTACGTTAGAATCATGTTCTACCTTTTTAACGTCTCTCATTTTAAACCTTATTTTGTGGGACTAAGGATCAATGGATATATAAACATACGTGGTTCATACAAAATACTGGAAAATACCTGAATTTATTTTAGCCCAACCGTTTCACTTGCTGTTCATTTTAAAAATCTGTTTCTTATCTCGTACAAACTTCGAAGTTCAAAATATTATGTAACTTTCTCATGCAACTGTTAATTATTTAATGTAAGATAGAAGCTTCTTTGACCAAAACTCTTAGGATTGATTCAGTTATTTGTAGATGTTAGTTAATAAGCCGTGAAGAAAAGCTAGTCAACATGTCCACGTGAAGGAAGTAGAAAGAAGCTTACATTAATGTGAAACCATTAAGAATATTACTTCTTTTATTGTTGGAATGGATTTATAGAAGGGTTACTAGTGTGGTTCCTGGGATGGAGGGGTTGTCATACGAGGAGAGGCCGAAATCTCTCAAATTGTTTTCTCTTGAAAAAAGAAGAGTTAGGGGGATCTGATTGAGGTGTTTAAAATTGTAAATGGTGTTGATGCATCATCTTTTTTAATATTTAACAGTAAGAATATTAGGAGTAGAGGATACAAGTATAAATTTTGGCAGGGTTGGAGTCATCTTCAGGTAAGACAGTTTCGTTTTTCTAACAGGGTGGGTTGGCCTTTGGAATGGTTTTGAACTCTTGAAGTTATTAGTCATATGGAATCTTCTGTAGAGAAGAAAGTAAGTGAATTAAAAATAAAGCGTCTGAATAGTTGGAGTTAAGTAGTTGGATACTAACTGACAGATATTTCCCAATAGCTAACAAGTTTGAAACCTCGGCGGTAGGAGACGCTTTGGCAGATATAAAAAAAAACTGATTTCGTATAGAGTTATAAGCCACCAAACTCTCTTCAATGTTAAGGTTGTAAATAGATGTAAATCTGAAACTGACATTACTGTACTCTGTGCCTATTTTTATACAAAATTCTGATTTTAATACAACCCGGGTAAACTGTAATATTTAGACAGAAAGTCTGTATGAACACGTCACGCATTCCTTAATAAATACTTTAATTTTATTTCAAATCAAATCTTCGACATCAACTTTTTTCATAACCTAATGCGGTAAACCGGGCACGATAATTAAAGCAACACCATGAATTAAACAAACCCAAGATAGTTAGAAACGATATAAGACCATGTGATACTTTTAACGGGAAATAAGACACGTCTTTTAGCTGGAAATAAAATCACTCGATTTTATATCAAGTTAAAATTTCGTCATCAGGTTTCAATAATCTGATTGGACAAACGGGATAATTAGAGCAACACCGTGAATTAAGCAAAACTTCAACTAATTCAAATACCGGCTGGTATTTAGGGAAACGACCATGTAATACTTTTGGCTATTTTAGCTGGAAAAGGTCACATTTTAAAATGAATTATTGTTCACGTATCTGAAAATTATATGTAGACGTCTATTGTATTGTGTAGATATCAACTGTCGTGGGTACTTCACATAACGTTACCTTTCCAGAGATAATCATTCTAACATTTTACACAAGCAATTCCTAGCTTGATAAATACCCTGTGGACGTCACCCTCTTCAAGTATTTGAGCTATTAAAACGTTAAGGGAAATCCCGTTAGTCACTTTAAGGAATCAGAGAAATACATTAGCGTCAAGTTCCCCCAGGCACTCCCCCCTCTCCCCATACTTTTTTTGGTTAGTTGTTTAAAATTAGAGATGTTCAGTTTTATTAAACGCAATTTTTAAGAGTGAAGTTTAGTGATTTAGAAATGTGGTACAAACAGTGTGTTTTTCCTGTGTGGTAATCTGTTACATCTATTTAATAAAACATTACTTGTGATCATAAATATATAAACCTTCTCAAGAAAAGTAAACAAAAATTCCTTTGTTAAAAAAACATACATCAATCACGACCTATCATTCCAGAAAACGTAACTGTTTTTATTCAAGCCAACGTTTCGCCATTACGACTTCATCGGCGAAACGTTGGCTTAAATAAAAACCACTTATGTTTTCTGGGGTAGTAGGTCGTGATTTATTTATCTTTTAAACAATGAATACAATTATCCAGTTTCCATTACAAACTTTAAAGTCTCAGAGAAAATTACTTTCTCAAAAACTGCACTGTGAACAATACTGACTGTCTATTCAATAATACTTTTATCTAAACTTGGAGTTCCAATACTTATTTGGACATGAAGCTGTAATATAACAGAAATTTAAGGAATTCGTACGGATTGTTTATTGTTAAACACAAACTACAACAATGGGCTATATGTGCGTTGCCCATCGCTACATTTATTTTTATCATTTCTCATAGTCCTTGCGGACCGTTGAGCCGATGGCAGATCTCTGTCATTACTTCCTGGCCCAAAAACCACGTCTGTTGTGGGCTGCCCTAACAGCTGTTATGATGTCTGAGTTACACCAATCCTTGACATCATCAAGCCACTTCCGCCTGGGACGACCTCTTCTTCTTGATCCTTCGACCGTACCTAGCAGAACTGTTTTTATTAATCTGCTTTCTTTCATCCTGCAGCTATGTCCGAATAAGCCAAGTCATCGCTACATAGAAACCCGATTTTTAGGGGTATAAACTATCAAACTTACCGCTCAACCACCGGTAGGGTGCATTTCTAAACTACTTAAGAAAAGAGGACAAGATTATCCCAACGTAGAAGAAATATTATTGATCCTATAAAGATCACCCCATTAAAAGCTAAAGATAAAACGATGTTATAAGATTGTACAATTCTTAAAACGCTAGGAAATGATTCTTCGAAAATAATATCAATACAAACGTCATAATTCAGAATATAAATACATAAAAATAATTAAGAGTTGAGATTCATAATTAAAAAATACAAACATTTACTACGATAGTCTAGGAAGAGTAAGCAGGACCTTCAGATTTTTCACAAGGAAAGGGTATGATTTGAGTTTCTGGAAGTGATGTGTTTGCGGTTTTTGCTTTCCTTTTAAGTTAAAAAAACAAACTTTAAACGCGTGACGGAGTTATATTATGTCTTGCAAGAGTACTTTCTTTCAGTAACACGTAATTCTCTGTTTTAACACATAAGCATCACATGGCTTTGAAATTTCATAAACTTTATTAAACCGCGTAAGCTTTTTAACGTAGGTCGATAAACAGTTGTTATTTGAAGCTGGCTGCCAGCTAACAAAAGCAAACGTCAAGCTCACTACATGTGAACTGGAACAAAATCTTTCTGCCTAGATGTGTTAACAATCCTGTATACATCCTTTCATGATGAGTTACGTTGATCCAATATGATGTAAAACACGCATTGACAGAGAACACTAAATATACTACATCAAGGCGTTGATAAAACTGATAAAACTATTCTGTTTACTTCTGTTAAATTCCAGTGAAACATATTTCTCGTTAGTTTTTATCAACAAGACAGT